CCCCCCCCCCGCCCCCATTTGCAAGTATTTTGATGGAGACGAAGTTTCCAGCCCCCAGACTGCCCAGAGCCAGTACCCACTGCCCGGAGCCAGTATCCACTGACGTCCTCCTGACAAGAAAAGAAGGTGGGCACCCTCGGTCACCATGTAGTCAGCACCCCGTTGACGTAGAACTGGCCCGCCCCCCATCACCAGCGCGGCGAGCGCCTCATCACGGGGGGTGCTGCTTTCACAAAGGCCGTTTCCCAAATGAACCTCTAGCTTGGGAGCTTCCCCTAGAAAGCCTGGGGGTAGGCGTGAGAGTTCTAGAAGTTCTCTGGGGATTAGGGTTCTTTGGCCCCGTCTTCTGAAATTCACGAATGGAGCAAAAAGGTGACACCAAAGAAAGGGGGAGGGAGATAGAAGAGAAAAAGGAAGGAAGAAACGAAGGGAGGGAGGGAGAGAAGGAAGGAGGAAAGGGAAGCAAGGGAAAACGGAAGGGAGGAACTGAGGGAGAGACAGAGACAATGGGAAAAGGGAGAGAGATGGAGAGATCGCTGACAGGCAGACTGGCTAACCGGCCTGTTCACGTACTATCTCATACGTGGACACCGAGATTCCACAGTCACACTGATTTGCCTGTGGCTCTTCTGTGTCCGTTTGACCACCTGACACTCTAAGAACACAAAGATATCCATGAGTTGTTGAGCTTCTAAAGCGGTGAGTGACAGACACAAATTTCGAGTCTTAATGATCTTGTCTGTGCTCAGCTCTTTGGCCTGTAAATATTACCAAGCCAGATATACCTGCAGAAATAAGTCACGTAATGAGCATTTTCAGGGGCAGTCTTACTGCCCGTTTTTATAGTACACAAACCATGTCCTCAAGCAACGATCAAAATTTTAGGGCCTCTTAATAATACACACACACTTTTCCATAACACCAGGGATTTTTCTAAGGCCAATCAATCATTTCCTTAGTTGAGCTACTCGCTGAAAACACTGACATAATGATCGACTTTTTCTAAGTACAACTATTGTATTTCTCAGCCAGAAACAAAAGGGGGGAGAAAAGAGCCATTCCTTCTAAGTACTCGCAATGACAATTATCAGCAAAGACTTGCCTCCTCCTTGATACAAAACTCCCCTCGAGATGGAAATTCTAACACCAGAGAATAAGTAGATACAATTTGCTATGATTTGGATTTGCAGGAGCGAAATTAATGAATATAATAATTAGATATAATACCTGTAGATAGAACTGGACCCAGTAAAAGACATATTTGGAAGATGACCGTGGAGATCCCCATTTTGCTGGGTTCTTCTCAACTGGAAGAAAAATACCTTGACATTTATAGGTTCCCAGCTGAAAGGAGGCGTGCCCACGAGGGTGGTATATTTCTACTGCTGCCATAAATCAGTGTACACTTGATCTTAGCCAAAAGGCCGAGAAGCGATTGCCATAAATCAGTGTAAAGGAAGTGAGGACTTTTGCTAACAGTTGATGGTTAATCTGTGGGAACAACTTAGGTGTGTTAGATTGATTGCTCTGTGAACGATCTGGCCAGTCTCCAACTGCAGACACACTGACAGTGATACAATTCCCAACTTCCTTTTAGGTGAACCTGTAAGACTCTCAGGTGCTCTCTGAATACAGGCTTAAGTTTAATCTTGGAGAATTTGAATAAACTTTGGGGAAGTCAGCCCCAAGAGTGGGGCATAGCAGGATGTGGGCTGCTGGGCAAACATAGAACGTGGTGCCAAGGGGAAATCATCTCTTTGGGATGATTTGTTCTGGCAGTGCATGCCCTTGTTGGCCCCTTGCTTTGGAGAACAACATGATTGGAAAGTAGAAGGTACGAGGGGTGAGTTCATAGATTCCGTGGGCTCGACCTAGCTTCCACCATCTTCTGGCTCTCACACTAATCCCATAGCACGGGAGCTGAGAAACCAAACCTCAGGCCAAACCCCCTCCGACCATCTCACAGGCTCTGATTTCTTGGCCCTTGACGTTCACGTTGTGTAACTCTCGGAGCTTGGCAAACCCACAAAGCCTGCCCCTGACCTCCTCCTACCTTACAAACGGTCCCTCTCCTTGGGTTTGTCATGTAGGTATCACTTTTCCCTTTGGGACCCCCAGTCTTTATCACCAGACTTTGGTAAACCCCCCACTCTCCCCAAGGTTGCCTGTCTCGTATTTTGATCAAAGTGCTCTTGGTGGTTGGTAACCCTTGGTAGAAGCATTTGCAGGACTTGCCTGTCATGCTGACCTGGAGGAGCAGTGCCCTGCCTCTCAGCTGAGACACTGAGGCTATCAGATGACACCTTGGTTTCCTTGCCATGAGCCAATAACCTGTGGTCTCCTGGTGTGTCATTCTAGAAGGATACCATGAACTCACGCCAGTCAGGATTCAAGGCTGGGCGTCTACACTTCGCTTCATTCAGATAGAAGATACGTTCACCCCGGGGATTTTGTTTTTAATCCTACAGCTCTTCCCAAGTTCTGCTTCTCCCCTTGATGAAAGTTGGCACGTTTCCGCAGGATAGCCTCATTGATTTTCATTCTCCTGCTGTCAGTCCAAGAATTGGTAGGTCTCAGGGGACTAGAGGGCAAGGATACACATCTCCTAGGGATGCCTAAGACCAGACAGCACATCGGATTCCTCTGCCAGGGGTTATGCTAGTTTGGATCCTGGTGGGCTGGGCCGAGGCTGGTCATGAAGCCAGGTCTGGGATCATCAAAACAGGGGAGCTCTTACAGCTTAGTGATGTCTGCCTTGAGCACAGCAGAGAAAAGTGGTGGTCGGAGTAAGAAATATCTGTGAGGGAGAAAGAGGGTAAATGTATCTTTCCCTCACTGAACAAAGCACACTGCTTGGTCACAGAGACAGATGCACATGCTGACAATTACAACAGGGGGCAGTAAGTATTAATACAAGTTGTGATGGGAACGTACAGAAAATGTATCTAAACCAGATGGCAGAGGCAGTTTCTCAGAAAAGGGGACACCTAAACGTAGTGTCGAAGTATAAACAAGGGTCATCCAGTGACCAGCAGTGGGAAGACCCAGCGAAGAACAAGGCATGACTTTCTGGACTGTGTGAGAAGGGAAGCAGGAGGGTATCCTGCCAGGAGCCTGGGAAGCAAGCTTCGTCGATGGCTCTGCCCAGACCGGGAGCATCCTTCTCGAGAGCTTAGTGTGATTTTCCCAATGGCACAGTATCCCCATTTTCGTTATTTTGGTGACTCTGTTCTTCTTCCTCTTTGATCAGTAGTAAAGAGCCAAAAAAAACAAGGGCGTGTGTGCTTTTTTTTTTTTTTTCAGAAGACTCCAGGGAGAGGGAAGTGGAGGGGACCTACCTGTCATTTCAAAGCCACTTGGGGATGTGTCCCAGGTGGGAAAATGGCTAATGTCAGTGGAGCAGGAAGAAGGTGGATGTCCCTAACGTGCGGGATGGACACAATGGGGTTGAGGGCACCACCAGGTAGGTCCTTCATCACCAGAAACCCACCTTGTCCCAAGGCCCTTTGTTGGTTATAAGACCCTGTTCAGAGAGGCCTTCCTGTGTGTAGAGGAGGGTTCTGGGGGAACCCAGCCCTCCAGCAGCATCTGCTCCCTCTCCCTTTCCCCTGCCCACTGGCTTAGAAGCATCTGCGTGAACAGCACATCCGGATGGAAGACTGGAGCTACGGAGCTGCCATTAAGAACAACAGAACAGGGGCGCCTGGCTGGCTCGGGGGGTTAAGCCAACTCTTGATTTTGGCTCATCATCTCACGGTTCATGGGTAGAGCCCAGTTCATGCATCGGGCTCTGTGACATCAGTGCGGAGCCTGCCTGGGATCCTCTCTCCCCCTCTCTCTGTCCCTTCCTCGCTTGCTCTCTAAATAAATAAATAATTGAAAAAAGAAAAACAGGACAGAGCAGCTCATCAAAGCTCCGAGGCTCGGCACGCAGGCCCCACGTGGGAAGGGCCTTCCCCAGGCAAACCATACTGATGGCCACCTGCCTGCAGACTCCGGAGGTGGAACCAAGCTCCCCACCTCCGTCCCAGAGGGATGGCCCTCACTGGAACCCTGGAGGCGTGCACATGGCTTTTACTTTTTTCAGCACTAGAAACCTTTCCTAAATTGAAATTCGTGGGAAGCCCCCAAATGTAAAACGGAGGAGGAGGGGTCCGTGCCAGTTCAGACAGCTCCTCCTCCTTCCTGTGCTCACCGTCCTCCAGCTTACCACCCCCACCACCACCCTTTCCTCCTTCAGGCAGCCTGGGGCAGAGCTGGGAATCCCTTGAGGGAGCTCTACCCTTCCTTTTACGGGAGGGAGAACTAGAGGCCCAGTGAGGCTCCAGAGGCAGTGCCCCGATGCTGAGCTGGGGTTCCAGGCAGATTCCCCAGGGCAGGCAACTGCCCTCAGCTTACGTGGCCTAAGCCCCGCTTTCTTTCAAAGATTGGCTCCACCCACAGGCAAGTGCCCTGCCTGCCCCTCTGGGGGGCTGGAGGCAACACAGGTTCCCATCGCCTCTGCAGGGTGTCTGATCTCTGAGCCCAGGGGCCCTGTGACTGGGACGGACCAGGGTCGCTGAGCTAAGGGTGCAGGCAGAAGGCTGGGGAGCCTGGGTGGGAAGGGGTGGGCGTCTTCGGATATTGCTGTTTGTTTCTGGCCACTGGGTCCCAGAAGTCTGTGTGACCACGGCTCACCTTCGGGTGTCAGGCTGACCTCCAAAATCTGATTTTGCCCTTGCTAAGTACCACAGCAGAACGGCTAGCCATTGTTACCGTTCTAATAACCCTTCGTGCACAATGTGTATGATGCATACGGTACCAGTCAGCTTTGATCTCAGAAAGCCCGTCTTCCCGACCAGGCTACAAGGGACCCCCCGCCCCATCCAGCCCCACCACGATCTGAAGAGCAAGCTGTCTCAGGGTTTCCTGCTGCTCCTCTGTAATCACGGTGCCTCAAGCAGAGCAGGTGCTCATCAGGCATTGGCTGTTGAAGGTGGGTTATCAAGAGCAGTCCCCGCTCCTGTTTTCCAGGGTCACCAACATGCGGCCTCGAGCTGGGGACTCTGTGATCCAGAGACAGGAGGTGACACACAGAGCCAGGCCGGTGTCCAGGACAGCTCCCAACAGAAACGGCCTCCCATCAGAAGAATGGAGAGTAGGAGGATTGATACAGCTTGCTGTCCATCAGGACACAATCCAACTGCAGAATCTTCCAGAAAGAAACACTCGAATGACCCTTGAAAAATAGAAGTCTGATCATCTTACTCTCATCTTTCTCAAAATAATGCTGCAAGCCCTGGCATGGTTTATAAGCCCCACAGAGCAGCCCCCATAGCCTCTCCTCTCAGCACACTCCAGTGATAGTCCAGCCTCAGGGCCTTTGCACTTGCTGTTTTCTCTGCCTGGAAGATTTTCCCCCACAAATCTGTGAGTTCACTCCCTTCCATCCTTCAGATTTTTTCTGATACGTATTTCCCCCTTGCAGCCTTTCCTAACCACCCCTATTTAGGCCTCCCTAACCCCTTCCTGGCTCACCATTCTCCACAGTGCTTCTCACCACCTGGCCTCCTTATATTTTATGTCTTTACTGTTTTGCCTATCTGCTCCCACTACAATACAAGCTCTACAAGGCAAGGATTCGTGTCTGCTATATCCCCAGAATCTAGAACAATGCTTAGCACATAGTAGGTATCAAGAAATATCAAGAAATATTTGCAGATGGAATTGACTGAATGGACATGAGCAGATCCGAAAGAAGGAGACCAGGACTGTTCACACAGAGTGACTTCTATGTTAACTGGGTATTGAGTACATGTAAAAGATAATGCTGTTTATTCATCTGCTTACTTAGCAAATATGTCCTGAGTACTTACGATGTGCCAGGCACTGCTCTAGGTAATGGGGCTAAAGTCCAAAGCCAGGGAGACATAATCCCTGCCCTCATGGGCTTTACAAACTAGAGCAACACAGACAATAGACAAGAAGTGAATAAGTAGAAAGAAGCACTTCAGATTGTGATAAGAATTATGAAGGAAATGAAAAAGGCGATAGAATAGAGTATCAGTGGTAGGAAGAACTACTTTGAATGAGGTGCCCAAAATATCACACTAGCTCGGTAACTGCTTCAGAGGAATCTGAGTCTCAGAGAGGTTAGGTAACTTACTCAAATCACACCGCTAGAAAATGGCAGAACCGGAGCTTGAATCAAAAGTGGGACTCCAGGGCCTGGTATTTTTCCACTAAACCCCAAAGCCCTCCCCACCTACCCCTAAGAGATTGTATTTCCAACCAAATGGTGGGTCTTGG